GCTTCTACACCTCTTTTCAGCTCATCTTTTTGCTTCTTTACCTCTTTTCAGCAGAAATTCTTCTGATTCACCTCTTTTCTGCCAAATGTTTAGCTTTTTCACCTCTTATCAGCACAATTCTGAGCAGCTTCTGCTAATTTCACCAGAATTGTCAGTCTCTCCACCTCTTCTTTGTGCGAATGAGTTTGGTACAGTGAGGTGAGTCGCTGCTCTTAGACCAGAAGGGCCAGGTTCGAATCCTGCTAAAGGCAATGCTTTTTGCTTTTTTCAGCCGACATCTTCAACGTTAAGGCATCCACACAGCATTTTCGCAGGAAATGCAAATTTTTCTAGTTTATAATGTGTTCTTCAAACATTATAAATTATGTAGGGACAGTTTTTTTGCAACCGTCCCTGCAGACTTAACTTTAACTTAACGTTACGTTACATGCTATGTACAGGTAGCTAGCGCTAGCAGTGGCTATCAGCTACTTAAACAATTTTCACTAACTTTAGGTATTTAGGTGAATTCATTGAGCAGAAATATATCGAAACCATTTCAGTGAGCACTTTAAGGGCTGGTATGGTGTGGTTTGTTGTCGACTTTAATGGGCATATTTATGTGGTTGCTGACTCGTAAGTAAGGACGGGCGTTTCAAGAGTGTCCCTATAACATTGCTCGGCTAACACCGGCGTTCTTGACAGTGAAGCCCAGATCAGAGCGGTCTATGGCTCTGGTCCAGATAGCACGGATCGCAAAACTGAGTCCTAAGGTTCTTAAATCGAACTTAAGGACCTTTGATTATGACTTTCTTAGGTGTTTTCTACTATGTTGCCCTAAGTCTGAACTTACACCAATACAAAATAACTGTGTCTAATAATGCTAAAATAGCCCCTACACACTGGACAAAGCAGGTTCTGCAACATCAGTGATAGCGGTCAATCCCACACAGCCTCAATTATCATTGTTTGCTCCAAGCATCCACTTATTTTCCCCAAATTCACCCAGGCAACAGGCCATCACCCAGTCCATCCTCCAGGACCTTATAGTTGGATGCTCTCTCCCCCTGTCTATCGTTGAGAATCCACATTTTAGACACTTCCTGAATGTCTTGGATAGCAAATACACTCCTGTGTCTAGAACCACCTTGACAGAGAAGCTGATACCTCACCTTGTCACTAAATTGAAGGGTGACATAATCAAAGCCCTGGAAGTCCAGCCAAATGTAGCAATAACAACAGACCTCTGGTCTGACCGGAGGCTTCGTACTTTCCTGGGAGTTACTGCTCATGCTGCCTGCAAGAACAAGGACTCTTACAGTTTACAATCATTTTTGCTTGACTGTAGGCGTTTCACAGGGAAGCACTGCGGCGAACGAATCGCCTCAGCTTTTGACAGAATAGTTGAGGAGTATGGCATTGGCCATAAAATAAGCTACATTCTGACGGATAATGCATCCAATATGAAACGGGCCTTTAAAGTCAGGATGCCAGAAGTAGAGCACCCTGAAGGTGATAGCAGTGATGACCTCGATGATGAAACAATGTGGGAGGATGCAGAAGGTTCTGATCCATGGTCAACGGGTGAACGTCTTTCTTGCTTTGCCCACTCGCTGCAACTTGTAATCAGTGATGGGATGAAGGAGGTAAAGGCAATAGCTAGAGCCATTGCCAAAGCCAGCAAGTTTACAAACCTGCTTCACAGCAGTAGTAACCACAAAGACTTGTTTGAGGCACACTTTGGCTCCAATAAGTCCATCCCAGCAGGAAACAACACCCGCTGGAATAGCACCTACAGACAGTTAAAGGCTCTGATCACGCTTGACCACGGGGCCATCACTGAAATGTGCAGCAATACAGAGAATTTAGTGTTTTCAACCCGAGAGTGGGCTCAGCTGAAAGACCTTTGTGCTTTGCTTGAGCCTTTTTCTGATGCAACAGATCTTACAGAAGGTGATCATCAGGTGACTATTAGCATGGTGGTCCCCACTGTTCTGGACTTGAAGAATCATCTTATAAAGATGGAAGTACAAATGCCCCAGGCCGTAACTATAGTCAGGGCACTGAAAAGATCCTTAGAGAAATGGTTCTCTGGAATTTTCAGGCAGATTTGCATGGACGAAAAGGATCCAGAAGAACTGTTTAGCCATCGGATCTACTTCCTTGCCACCATGCTCGACCCCCAGTTTGGACTGACCTGGGTAGATTTAGATGTCCAAAATGGTGAAACCAGACCAGCACTGAAGAGGTTCAGAGATGACCTTAAAAAGTCATTAATAGGAGACTGTATAATAATAATTATTTATTGTTATTGTTGTTTTTGTTGTTCCACTTATTATCACTGTCTTTGGTTTTATAGCATCATTAGAAGCATCCTGTCTAATCCTGTCTTTGTGTGTGTGTGTGCACCCTTTTCCAGACCTTTTGATCACAGAGGTAGACAGAGACGGACCTGCAGCACCAACAGAAGAAGACACAGAATTATCAGATAGTGACTCAGCGCCACCCCCAAAACAACGTCTTCTTTCACGCTACAAGGCATTTAGGTTGCAACGCAGCACAAGCCAGGACTCGAGCACTGATGCACAAATAAGCAAGTACCTAGACAGCATAAATGACTCTGACTGTGATGCACTCACCTTTTGGTCAAAAAACAAAGAGCGTTTCCCCAGTCTACACAGTGTTGCCTTGAAGGTCCTCTCTGTCCCTGCCTCTTCTGCCCCAGTTGAGAGGGTTTTTAGTAGAGGAGGCATTCTAATGAGACCCCACCGAGCACGGCTAGGCTATAAGATGTTGCAGTCTTTAGTTTTCTTGAAGTGCAATCAATCACTGTTTTAAAATGTGAACTCATTTCTCTCCCTCCTCTCTGAAAATATGCTGTTTGTTCATTATATATTTGTTCATAAGATATCTGTTATTTGTTCATAATGTCTGTGTTCTATTTTTCCTGCCCTACTGAACAACAGGCTTGATTTCATTGGCAGTGTGTTGTAATCTCATGCCACTGAAGACATCAAGATGCCAGAATCTTTTAAGCACTTGTTCTTATTCTTATTAATGCACAATTTGTATTGGTATGTAATATTTGTAGTTTGCATCTGATTCATGTGAGGTGTGCACATGTCTTTATATTGTTTGATTACAGAATTTTACTTAAAATGGTGTTGTTTGACTAAATAAATGTGACCATTGACTTTTAAATAACATCTGCATATCACTTTGTGTTGACAGGCCTTATCCATTTTAGGGAAGTTGATATCATAGTGTAATTTGGCTAGTACTACTACAATAGGACATGATGCAATTTCAAGTTTATAATCTTCAGTTTGATGTTACAATTTTATATATATATAAAGTATAACTGAAACCAGTTACATATTTCATATTTTACAGTTGTTGGAGGTGATCGCTGTTTTGTCAGATGACTTTGGGGCCAGTCAGTACCATCATGTCAGCCCTTAAAAGCACACAAAAGTTAGTCTCTTTTTGTCCCGGTCTTGGTCTCGGTCTTGGTCTCGTCTCGACTTGGTCTTGGTCTCGGTCTTGGTCTCGATACCCTCTGGTCTCGGTCTCGGTCTTGGTCTTGATACCCTCTGGTCTCGGTCTTGTCTTGGTCTCGATACCCTCTGGTCTTGATCTTGTCTTGGTCTCGGATTAGGCGGTCTTGACTACAAGTCTAGCTCCAAATAAAGTTTATAAATGAATTCTAAATTTCTAGCAGCCAAGCTGCTGGAATAATTAGAGATTAGCTGAAGGTTTGAGCAATGCATGGGAATACTGAATCAGAACAATCGAGATGGGAAGAAGTTAAAGTTTGTGCTAATGGTTCCTCCGCTCAAGTGAGCCAGTGATGGTTTGATTTTTGCAATGTTTCTAGATGAAAGAAACAAGACTGGGTGAGCTTTGTGATGTAAAAGTTAAATATCAAGATTCAAATGCTGATCAAGAACAACACCAAAGTTGTGATGGAGGAAATCTCATCAAAATTACATCAGCTATGAAGTAATCACTGTGGTAGGAGGTAATAAATCTTTTATCAGTGATAAATTCAGGAACATTTTGTTTTATCTCTAGAGACAAGCCTATCACTGCATTAGTCACAACAGGGAGCTTCACCTATTACAGTCTGTGGTTTCCAACATTATACAAAAAAGCAACCATGAATGCACTGCACCACATAAATACCTCTGGTGCACTGCAGGGAAACTGTCACCACAGCCACCAAAGCCTGTGAGCTAAAGAACAATGCAATTTCAAACAGCATGATACAGATCTGCAGGAAAGCGTTGAGTTTTTGACTAAGAAATAGCTTCACTAAAGCGTACCAGTGAAACTGTGTACAAACAATTACAGTGGAACCCCGACTTACGAATACCCTGTTTCACGAAAAATTCAATTTACGAAGGCACTGAACGGCAATATTTCTGCCCGTGTTACGGCAAAATGCCCGAGTAACGAAATCCGCTTTCTCTGATTGGCTGAGCCTACAATGCCCACAATGCCTTCCGAATCATGTGACATCCCCTTGGCTTCTGTACTTGCGCTTTGCTGTTCCACTTGAACGACATATTGTTGTTCTAGTTAGCAATTAGCCTATAGCCTATCGTTCAGCATCGCCTCACTCAAAACGCGCAATGGGTGCTTCGACTTACGAAAATTTTCGACTTACGAAAGACCCTCGGGAACAGATTCATTTTGTAAGTCGGGGTTCTGCTGTATTAATAAATGTAGTTTTAGTTATCAAATACAACTCTTTTTTTTAAATATATTTTTTTCTTTTCTTTTTTTTCATTGTGCACTTTGGCCCTTAGAAAACACAACATGCAAGATACTGAGAGCTGACTGAAGTTACACATTTAAGTTATCTTTATTAATCCTTTATATCCAGGTAAAAATCTCATTGAGGTTAAACATTTATTTTCCAAGAGAGACTTGGCATCATGGCAGGTCTCTCAAGTAAATCAATAGTAATAAGTACTTCTGTTATTATTAGCATTAAATTTAATAAACTTTGTACTTACCTGAGACGAGGCTGAAACTCTCCACAAACTGAGTGCTACCATTTCTCTTGATGCCACAGAAGTAAAGCCTGCAGTCCTCTGCTGTCAAGTTTTTAATCACAAGTTTGTTTCCCAGGATTGAAAATTTTGTTTCAAAATCAGGAGAGTAGTAGGTAGAGCCTGCTGAGGAAAAACTGCGGCCGATACCTGCTCTGAACTGACTGTGGATCTCCATGTACCAGTATCTGTCTGATGTCTGATTGGAGCAGGTTAGAGTGACATTGGTCCCCAGCTCTCCTCTGACCTCGGTCACCTTCTCGGCCTCTGCACAGAGCAGAAGCACCAACAGGATCATCCACAGGAGAACCATGATCAGCTTCAGCATCCACAACAAGACGGAGTCGTCTGAAAGCAGCTCAGCTCTGATGGACTCTGACACAGAAGTGCTCTACACTTCCTACTTCAGGCGGTGATTATGTCGTGTGCGACGTCTGCTGATAAACCACAAATACCAAGTAACTCTCACAGGAAGTGAAACCTTCTTTTTACCTCCAGCCTGACTTCTGTAGCAGGAATCTGACACGGAGCTTTCAGACTCAGTTCTTCTGGAACTGAATTTTCACATTACGAATGGTACTGTAGGAGTAATAACAACAACACAAGCAAAGGGGAGTTTAAAATCAGCATGAGAGGACAGTGTTTCATTTAAAGTACAAAGCACAGGTAGAAAAACTAGCAGTAGTAGTATATGTTTTAGTAGAAAATAAACAGACGTGCAGATACAATGAATGAATCCAAAACTATCCAGATTTGAACATGTCTGAACTGACTCAGTCCTGTTTCTCTGTAAATAAAAAAAATCTTCATCTAGAACTTCAACTGTTACTCCAGTGAAACACATCTCAAGTCAAATCAGACAGTAAATTAAAGGACAGTATATTTAACCCCTTCAAACATGGCTTCGCGTCTGTTACACCACAGCGCCTCCAGTTGTATCCAAATATTACTGCAATCCACAACCCACTGAATTCCTACTATAAATACTTCTATAACCTCTACTGCAAAAGCAGGTATTAAACTCTTTACACTCAATATTCTCACTGAAACTTTAACTACTGTAATTACAGTGTACCCCATTCAAAGTGTATTAGAATGACTACTTTCACTACTACACTCTGTACTACAAATATTACTCAATCTGATTAATCTAATTCAAATATGAAACTGCTGCCTTTATCATAGCAGCAGTGAAGCATGATGTGAGTGGCATTTAGCTACATCTGCATAACTGCAACAATAACCACTACACACTCTGACAGTACATTTTACTAATGCTCATCAAATAACCTTCTGCCCACAGCCCTGGTTTTAGTGCCTGCTATTACAACCTAAAACTATGACAAAGTTGCTCCTCCATTTGCAGCACTACTATCATCTATGTTCTGTTTATCCGTCTGTGACTGTTTACTGTTACCGTGTTACTGCGAAATGATCAGTTACAACTTCTGTTAATGACAGATATCAGCCTGTTACTACCTGTGCAGTTAAAGCTGATCCCTGAACTGGGTCAGACTTCCTTGAATTCAGCCTGAAGATGGTTCCAGTTAAGAAACTGTTAGCTGACATAAAATGTACTTTACTATATACATGACTGATGTCTTTAAAGGATATCCAAAACACAACAGCAAACACTTAAAAGATATTTGAACTTGCATGCATGTATAGATGGTGCATCAACACTGATGCAGTTTAAAGTTAATCAATATATATGAGGCCAAAACTACTTAAAAATATTTGACCAGAATTGAACTTTTCATTCATTTGGGAGCTGTGAGCCTGTTGTGAACCTTATGTTGGAGCACATACGCAATTCTGAAAAAGTTGTTACACCGTAAAACATTTTGAAGACAATTGTTTTGAGACATTCTTCTTCCATCAAATTTAAACTACATAAATATTTTTTTTCCAAATTGTACTTTTCCTTAGTTTAAACGTGCTATTGTGAATTAAATAGGGGTTGATGAGATGATGAGTAAAATTATTAATAACACCTGAGATGAGTGATACCTTTAAAGTAACACACAGGGACAGCACCAGCAGTACATGTTTAATAGAAGTAACAATAGCCATAATATGGTTTGAATTTATAAAGGTCAGAGCGAAGATCATCAACACATGCGAGCAGATCAGCTGTTTTCATCTTCTGTCTCCAAACTGTTGCTGCAAAGAAACTCAAACATGAACACAATCTGAAAACAGTGAAAAGGTCAAAGCAGACAAGCTAACACAGGTGGTACATTTTCTAATACTGTAACATTTCTAAAACATGACATTAATCATACATGAGTAGAAAAATGCGTCTTCAGCATCACTTTGTCAAGTGTAGGCTGTGTACAGGCAGGATAGGACCCAAAGTGCAGACTCATGGAGGCAACCGTGAACTCAAACTCAGCTTTTATTGCTGGATGGCAGAACAGAACAGTAAACTAAATAAACTGAGAATAAAGAGAGCTAAATTGGCAGGCAGGCAGAACACACAGCAAGGGATGATAGAGATCACAACACAGACAAAGGAAAACACAGGGCTTAAATACACAAGCTGTGCCCTAAAATGTCGGCTGCATCCTTCGGAGGACCCGGCCTTCGCGGTCTACGTGGGCCGGGTCCTTCGAAGACCGAGTAGGCCGGAAGAACGAGGCTGTGAAATGGGACAGTCTAGCCTTTTGATTAGCATCACCGCTGTCTCGGTGGAGTTTAATAAACTAAGCCGTCTGCTCCTTGCTATCTAAAATATAATATCGACCATCTCACACTTCTGTTTCATCAGTTTTCTGTTTCACGTTTATTCAGCTGTGTGAAAATCCCAGAGGAACCCACCAGATGGATTAATAAAAATTTATTTAATGTAATCTAAGTGAATAACTCTAATCTCAGCCAAACCGATTTACTACGGAACAAATAAAACACAGAAAAAAGCCAAACAATTACATTTTAAAGTTATCTGAGTGACTTATATATCGTGTTTAACCTGTGTAGCGAAAGACAGCGGGGGTCTGAAAACAATGAAGCCGGGAGTCCACTGCTCTCGCCGGGTTAAGTGACCATTGAACCCCCCGGCTTGCTATCGAGCGGGTGGGTAACAGACGTCTCAGAAAACGTTGGCGCACTTTTGCAAATATGCGATGTCTTGATAAACCAAGCAGTTATTTAAAGTTTACACAGCAACTTTCTCGCCTGAAAATATGTTAAAAGTTTATTTTGTGACCCAGAAAGAGTAATAAGAGTAATATTAAAACTTAGTAGTGCCCGCCATTGTTGGAAACTGGAATTGGCTGTGCCGCGCTATGAATTCTGGGATATAGTGGGGCCACAAAGGACACACCTGACCCATCCTTCAATTTTGGGCAAAATAAAGGATGGATTAGTTGGACACATTTGAAGGAGTCGAGGAATTGGGACAGCCTTCGTCACCTGGCTGTGGCGTAAGCCTTCAAATACGACCTACAGAGGATGCAGCTTACGTTTTGGGACACAGCTACAGAGGGAGCAATCAGGGAATGGGAACAGGAGACACAGACCTTCAAAGTAAAACAGGAAACAACAACTGAACTTACAGACTCACAAGCAGACGCTGCAACAGAGGGAACAGGGACGTGAGACCAGGGCAGACACAAACACGGACTGGACACAGAACAGAGGGAGTATGGAAACCAAAACTGAAGAACTACAAAATCTCACACCAAGAAGAACTGAGGGAAATAGAAATACAAAACAGAAAGCAAAACCTTCACAGTAATAAACCGAGATGAGAACACAAAGGTACAAAACTGAAAACACTGGGTCAACAACACAGGTACCCTAACACATGAATGCTGTCATCTCTCTTGATGCCACAGAAGTAAAGCCTGCAGTCCTCTGCTCTGAAGTTTTTAATCACGAGTTTGTTTCCTAGGACTGAAAATTTGGTTTCAAAATCAGGAGAGAGGGTAAAATATGTTGAAGAAATCTGGCAGCTGACACATGCTCTGAACTGGCTGTAGATTTCCATGTACCAGTGGGTGTCTGAGGCCTGATTGGAGCAGGTTAGAGTGACCTCTGACCCCAGCTCTCCTCTGACCTCGGTCACCTTCTCGGCCTCTGCACAGAGCAGAAGCACCAACGGGATCATCCACAGGAGAACCATGATCAGCTTCAGCATCCACAACAAGACGGAGTCGTCTGAAAGCAGCTCAGCTCTGATGGACTCTGACGTCCTCTACACTTCCTGTCCCAAATGCTGACTTCAGCCTATATGACACCTGATAAAATACCACAAGTACCAAGTACCTCACAGGAAGTCCAACTTGTGCACCTTCACTATGAACGCTGCTGGATGGGTTAATATGATAGACTTTCTGTTGCTTTGTGATGAATTTTAAATATGGCACTGCAGTATTTAAAGTACAGGAAAAAGTGTTGAATTTAACTCTAACAAAGTCAAAGTATGTGTTAACATTTTGAGCTTCAATACAACGCTTTTCAAGGTTTTGCATTAACACAACTGGACAGTGGCAGCTTGAGACACAGAAAGAGGAACAAGTGGGAGAGAAAAACATTTAAATTAAAAGAGCAAATCAATGAAATTAATCGTTGCCAAATTTCAAAGCCATTTATAAAATAAAACTCTTTTTGGAAAGATTCACTTTACTGGAATTCTAATAAATATCTCAACAATGACCTCTACAGGATGGAGGAGGCGGTGTGTGTGGCCTGTGTTTAGTGTATTCAGTTTTTCTTCCTCCAGATTAGCATCCGTTGTGTTCGAGTCCAGCATTTGGGTCCAGCCTCATCCTGCCTGCCACAGCACCGTGCATGACGCATGATATAACTCAGTAATCAAGGAAAGAGCCGTTGTTGTGACTTATCTATATATCTATATATCTATATCTATATATAAATATATAGATATAGATATATATATATACACACTTTTTTTTCTTTTTGGTAGGATTCCATCTTTCAAGTGTTGTGATTTGTGTAGCTTGTTTAAAAGACTATCTGTTTTTGTTTTTACATTTTGATTGTGTGATATTAATTCCAGAACCATGAATGCATGACCTTTCCAATCATACCACAGCCAAAAGCTCCCAGTTAAACATACCTGAAAAGTTACACTCACGTCTCAACTGACGATTATTAATGTATTTATTTCGGTGTCATTTTAGTTTCGCTTTTGTGCCTCTTCACAGTAATGATGTGTTCCCATTCAATGTGATTTGTTCAGCAGCTGACAGTCGTTTGCTTGCTGATGTACCTAAATCATGTTACCTAGATAACTGCCTAATGCAGAGATGTCAAAGATAAGGCCCAGGTAACAGAATCAGCCCGGTAAAGACTCCAGCTTGGCCCACTGGGTGTCTTTAAAACTGTGAAGCAGGGCATAGATTTTGTACATTTAA